CTCTATATCTTGACCCGCTAGAGAGAGCGTCCTGAACCACGTCCGTGGGCCAGAAGCGGAATCTTCTGGACTCAGGTGGGAGAGAAACATGGAGGCAGTGCTAGGGGGGGGGTTCTAGTGCAAGGGGGTCGGACGGTCGTTTTGGAGTTGCGTCAAGTACAGCAGTAGTTACGCGCGCTGCCGCTGCTGTGTCCGCACCCGCCTTCATGTCTCGCGGCTCCAAAGCACGCAGCAGAACCTTGCCGCTGCTATATCTAGGCCGCAACTATGGGACGTGCACCCCGCGTGCTGATTTGTGAGAAGCACAAGTGTTGATCCTATCCAGCATGCTCACAGCAGCGCCTTGTGCGCCAACAAGACGCCAAAAGTGCTACTGCTGAAGCATGAATTTTGAATTTGAATTTGCAACGGCCGTGGTACGCTGCTGCTGTAGGACAGGAGTGGACTAGGGCTGCGAGGCACGCTTCAGTCCATCGTGTACTAGGGATGGTACTGTCCATCGTTGTCTACAATACTCTATGTATTTTGCCGTTTTCGGCAACCCATGAAGAGGTGCAGCACTCCTACTACTACTACTATTTTACTACCTGCTACCTGCTGCTGCTGCCGCTGTGTAGACTTGGTGGCAGGACGAAAATGGATCATGCACACCCTTTTACATGATAATAACCTCCAACCGGGATGTGGGTGAACTTTGTTGCATTTCATATCAAGTAGAGTACACGTGGCCTGGACAGCAGTACTTGCTACACACCCCCTCCCAATTTTTTCACATCGTAAAAAACAGGTGAAAAATGTATCGCCTGAAGGATGGCACGCGTCTAAATCCGTGGCCCAACGCTGCCAGGGGAGATTGTGGTCCGTACTCTATCATCGATCTTCGTCGGATCGAGTTCGGGGCTACCCCCGGAACAACCCGCGTGGAACGGGAGCAACTCGCCAGCATCCAAAAGCTTCGACGCGACGTAGCCAGTCTCGGACGCGCAAGGACCCACCGGACGGTTGAGGATGGGCAATTCACTGACGACTTTCTCTTTGGCACCGTCAAAGTACAGGAGAGGCCAATCGAACAATTGATATCTAACCCACTCCTACGCATCTTGAAGAGGGAGACATGGTTGAAGGTGGCGGAGCGTCAAGGTGGATATTGGGACGGGAAGCACATGGAGGCAGCGGCTGTCGTGTCAGGTCTAAAACACTTCAGACTCGTGAAGGCGACGGAAGAGGGGGAACTCGTTCCGTGCTATAGTCTATGGCACTCATATGGGCACTTCGAAGCCGTGTTCAAGGTCGAGCCGTAGACGGCAGCCAAGGAGCCTGTCGCAGCAAAGGAGCCCACCGCAGCCAAGGAGCCCGCCGCAGCGAAGGAGCCCACCGCCCCGGAGGAGGTGGTTCCCCTCGACCAGCCTGTCGCAGCGAAAGAGCCCACCGCAGCGAAGGAGCCGGCCGCATCGAAGGAGCCCGCCTCGCCGGAGGACCCCGACGCCCCAGAGGAGCCCACTACAGCGAAGGAGCCTGTCGCATTGAAGGAGCCCGCCGCGCCGGAGGAAACCGCCGCCCGAGAGCAGTCCACCGCAGCGAAGGAGCCCGCCACCCCGGAGGAGCCCACCGCGCCCAAGGAGCCCACCGCAGCGACGGAGCCTCGCGTGGTCAACAAGCCCGCCGCCCACCACGAGGAGCCTGTCACACCGAAGGAGCTTGCCGACACCAAGGAGCCCGCCGCAGCCAAGGAGCCCGCCACAGCCAAGCAGGGTGGAGACGACTGGGTTCTCGTGGGCAAGAATGGGCGCCCGACGACCTCGGGTAGTGGTGGCATCGACATGGATGAGCGCGCCGAGAAGAGCAACTCCATAGTCAAGGTGTGTACAAGACATAGGCTTTCAGTCTCGGCATGCAACAACATGTACTTCGTATTTCTTATCTGCCCGTTTTTTTGTTTTTTTTTTCCATCACATATGACGGGCAGCGTTTCGTTGTTCTTGCCATGCAGGGCTCAAACCTTTCGACTAAGTTTGATACGGGCAATACGTACACCTTGCTGGGTTGTGAAGAGGAGGCGGGGGACGTGGGGGAAGGAGAGCACGTAGTCGTGGAGGCGGTTGAGGCAGCGGAGGAGGAGGATGGAGCGCACACGGGATTGGCGGTGGGGATTGGGGTGGAGGCGGAGGCGGAGGAGACAGCAAAGGAGAACCCTTAAGCTTGGCACGGAATTCTTCGCCGGGGGTTCAAGATGGTTCGCACGGGGGTTTGGGCGGTTGTCGGCGGAGTTGGTGGCGTGATCGGCCGCATCGCGTCTGCCCCGTTTGGCCGTGTCGAAACGGCGGGCAACACATGCCCGGTAAGATAAATTCTTTCCCTTTTCTTCGCGTTTGAAGCCAGAGCATTGTCCCGCAGCATGAAAATCGAGCCTGTGGACTTATGTACATTTAGTTCCGTCAACTGCGAGCGTGAACTCTGGCTCCCCGACTATAAATCTTTCTCCCCATTTGCCTCACATGCCCGACCAATAACAAGAGTGTCAATACTTAAATCTTCCTTTTCGAAACACGTCGCAGGCCAAGACCCCTCGTCAACGCCGCACCCCTTGTCGGAGGCGCATCTCTCGTCGGACACGCACCTTACGTCGGAGACGCATCGCTCGTCGCCGCCGCGTCGCTCGTCGCCGCGGCACCCCCCGCCAATGCCGTGTCATCCGCGGCAGGCCCACCGACCAGTACGGAGACCAAGGTATTGCCGACGATGAGGGGAGGTCGGAGGAGACGACACCTAAGGGCAGCGAAAACGACGGCACAAGTGCTCAGCATACGACCTCCAGTCCGGTAAATATGTCCACCCACAAGAATTTGCGTCAAAAATGAATTGGCTTCTCTGCTCAAGTGAGATGTGTATCCAAAGCCTTCTTGAAAAATTCCGGGTGTCCCCTTTAGTCGCAACTGTTCTGCGTGACAGGTAGTAGAACTTTTTTTGGCGCCCATCATTCGCTCTTCCCCCATGCCCTCTATACCCGTTTTTGTTCCAAACATGTCGCAGGCCAACGTCCCCCGTCGACGCCGCACCCCTCGTCGGAGGCGCACTTATCGTCGACGCGGTGCCGCTCGTCGCCGCGGCACCCCCCTCAAATGTCGAATCATTCGCGGGAGGCGCTACCGCCCCACGGGTCCTTCTTGTCTTCGCGTGCACTGGCGCAGCACCGTTTTGCCCACCACCATGGCCTCCCCGACGACTCATCTGTTTCCAGCGTCGTTCATCCACCAGTGCTTGCTGAGTGGATCCGTGGACAGCTTGGAGCGGGCGTGCTTCCGTGGTGGAGCCTTGCCGGTGAGTGTGTGTCTTCTTGGGGCTTGTGTTTCGCTTGGTGTGCTTGTCTAGTGAGCGTAGATTGGACTCGATGCACGACTTCCAATAGTTATGGGTTTGCCGTTGGACGAGGTACAGAAGGCCCACGCATTGGCTTCATTACCCAGCTGGTACTTTGTATACTACATTACAGTGAACCCTTACAATAAATCCGATGAAGTTAGAAGAAAATGTCTACTTCGGGCCCCATCGACTACTTTCAGACGCTTGGCCGACCATACAGATTTGGATCCGACATGTTTGTTCAACTTGCGCACAAGTATACTGCAAACTCTTCTGCCTTAGCGTGTAGATGTAAAGGGGTAGCTCCTTAAATCAATTTCGCAAGATATGGAGAGCTTCGTTCGAAAATAGTCGCCAGCCGCCCCACAATCAAGAAGCAAGCACGGATTTACCCACTACAAACTAGGTTCCGTTTTCTCTGATAAAAAACTGAAGGTTCTTCGCTGAACCTCCCTCCAAAATCTGTCGCCGATGGCGTGTGCATCCGCTCGAGAGGTTTGGTCGCACAAGAGTTTGGAGTACAATGGAAATGTGTGGAGATTTTGTTGTGCCTCTTCGCCACGATCGTGTAGATTTCAAGGTACAGCGACGGATGTTCGTAGTTAGAGAGATCGCCCCCGCCCTGTCGCTACTCGGACATTTGTTTCACCTTTCAGCATGAAGGCGTCCGGATCATCGGCGAAAGGTGGTCGCTTTGCGAGGGTTTGACAGTATGAGCTCCCACCTAGGGGTTTGCTTCAGTTCGAACGATAGCGGGGACGGACACGGGGTCTTCTGCCATGTTTGCGGCGAAGAAACGACAAGTCGATCTCGATTGCGTCAGTCGTGCTATGACAAGGGCGAGCCGTACCCGAGTGGACACTGTTCTGTGTGCCTTATGAGGTTCGGTGACAACAAGCGCAAGAGAGTCAGGCTACCAAAGAAGGGCGGCGCCGCAAAATTCGCCGCATATCTTGTGGGGGACACGGAAGACGCCGTGAACTTCCGGGCAACCTGTGCACAACGTCGCGATCTCAAAAAGTGTCCAATCCGCGAAGGTGACCCTCTGCGTAATTACGGCAAATGTGTTTACAGCCACCGAAAAATAGCTGAGAAGAATGGACACTTCGCGCGACAAATACCGTCGAGCGGTCAAACCAAGCCTGGACCGAAACCAGCGGACCTTACGGGGCAGTGCCCCCTTCCATTCTGCCAATACCGGATAGAGGAACCCAGAGCTCGTCGGGCGGGGGCGCATTTCGAGAGCTGGGAAGAGTTTTTCTCTCGCGCAAGGAACTTACCGATTTGGAAAACGGTGGGTAGGATTAACCCGGACACTGCCATCTGCAATCGTTGTTATAAGGACTGGTACAACAACAGTGGCAAACACCACCAAGAAACGGCGCAACGGTCATTCAGAGGGGTCGGTTCGTACAGGGAAGCCGCCGACAAAGAAGAAGGCTACCTGCCTGTCCTCGAAGAGGCAATCGTCAAGGGTCTAAGCAGTGGAGACAAGGGGAGCGTGCGTTTTTTTTCCAAGCAGAAGCTGTTGCTGCAATTTCGTGTGCGAGTACTTCGAGACGTTTTGGCCGCAAATAAACCCGTCACGTTCGACTACCTGCGGCAAGCGCTCTTGAAGATGATCAACAACGCTGATCCGGAAGGGGAGCTTTTAGGGACCGCGAGCCCGGAGCGAAAAATACAGAAATGGGTAGACAGAGAGTTGGACCTAGTTGCGGCCACCACCCCGATCGGCAGAGGTGCCGCTACTTTCGTCCAGGATTGCCGAAAACATCCGGCGTTGCTTTACCCGTACATTCACAATATGCATCAAGTGGGGGCCATCGTTGCCAACTTGAACGAGGCGGTAGAGAAGGAAAAAGTCAAGGTGCAGAAGTTGGAGGAGGAGATAGCCCTGGTGAATTAGGCAAGTACCCAACGGGAACCGGATGATAGGGTCATCTTGCGCAGCGCGGCAATGCTACTGCGGAAAGCCACCGAGAAGTTCGGCGAGGAGAGCAGCAAGTTAGTGTTTGCCCAGGCGAACGGCAGAGCTCCGTTGACGTTTGCGGAGCCAGTGGTCGAGTGGAAGGACAACGTGCCCCCCGAACTTGGAGCTTTTCTGGACGCGCTCGCTTACCCGGTAGAGGAGGACGCCAATGATGACGACCTCGTACGGGCGCGAGTCGCCCGCAAATGCCTTTTGGCGGGAGTGCTGACATCGTTCGCCCACGAGACGTGGTACAAGAACGCAAACATTTCAGGTCTTTTCCTCAAGGACCAGTGGATTCAAAGGGATGGGTTGGATTTCCTGGCGAGCAACTTCAAGATCTCGCAAACAGATAATCATTTGTGGAAGTTGCGAACGAGATTGGCGGACATCCTTGGCACCGAAAGCGAGATGAAGAAGCTGGTACCTCTGACAGCCGCACTGATGGCCGCGAGTTTCGACAACCTCAATGTAGATGTGTTGAGGCACTGGGGGGCAGGTGGACACGTCGACCTCATTGCTGCCATCGCGTACTTCCACGTTTTGAAGACTCGGGAAAAGGTCACCGAGCTTCAATGCGTCCCCCCGACCCTAGACTTTGCTCGCGATTTTGGGCCCGACAATGAACGGCTAATGGAGATCTGGGGGCAGTTTCGACGTCGAGTTGTCGCGTGTGTGCGTCGTGATTCAGTCAAGTCGGACGGGGACTTCGAGGTTCAGGTGGCCAGACAGGTCATCGACGACGCCCATGAAGAGCGCATGGTGGGCGTTGAGGACCGCCGTGTACCCTCTGACGTGAAGGCGACCTACCTTGGTGTGGTGAAATTGGGAACGAAAACACTGCCCGACATCATCGAGTACCTGGACGGGTTGAAACAAGTTTTGCACGCGGGCGCCGAACACGGAAGGAGGCGGGCAGTCATTGTAGGCGATCAGGAGACGTTCAATCTTGTGCACAAAGCCAAACAAAAGTATGAGGTCAAGTATACATGGGCGATCCCGTGGGTTGGCGACTGGCACCTTCTTGAGCACACGCTCGACGTTATGTTCCTGAAATGGGGCGGGTTCGGTATCATGCCATTGGCGAAGCGGAGCGACTGCTACAACAACAAGTTGGAGAAGAAAGATTATCACAACCGACACAACGTGTTCATCGGGATCATGGAAGCGGCGTGGAGAGCCTGTGTTGCCGAGGTGGGGGGTTCGAGCGCGCCCGCTATGACCGATGACGACGTTCTCAACGAGCTGCTCGGGTACAGGACTGACCGGACGAAACACAAGACGTGTGGACAGTGGGTGGAAATGCTTCTTGTCGACGGTATGGCGTACCTGGCTCTTTACATAGGTGAGTCATGCCACAATAGGGAATGCGCTTTAATTGCAGGGTCCCAACATTAAGAACTGACCAAAGTGTTGTCTACTCCATGTGGAAGTAATTTTTCGGTCGACATTCTACTCACTCATCAAAGAAGCTATCGGGAGTGGGGGGATTTGTTTATTCTTCGCACTTACGCGAGGTGTATTTTCTAATGGGATACAAGGGGCCTGGCACCTCAGCGTACGGATGAATGTTGTGTGTACCCCCATCGTGGCACGCCTCAGGTATTCGAACAGGCGACTTCGATCTGCGCGAGGCCGCACTTCGCAAAATCGCGCCGCTGTTCTTGGGATACAACAAGTACAAGTACCACGACTCGTGCATCAAACATCTCGCCGACATATGTAGGATGAGCCCTACCGAGCGTTCGTTCATGAGCAAAACGTTTAGTTTGTCGCTTTCTGGTGTTCCTGGCAAGAACACTAGTCTCGACGAGATCCAGGAGATGACTATGAATAAGGACTTCAAAGGTGCGGCGACAGGGACGGACATCAGATACCTGCAGAAGCTCGGCCTCACGCTGCAACTTTTTGCTTGCTCCGTCCAAGATTTCAAGGAGGTGTTTGGTAGTAAGCTTGTCTACAACCGAAAGATATACGCCAGTGCTCACAGGACTATGTCGGTCAGGAAGATGGTCGAGGTTCTCACCGCAGAGGAAAGCCCCTTCAGGCTGCAGAGCGCGTGTGGCAGGGAAGCTTAATTTCTGCAGATAGCCGCACGGCGCTCAAGGTTCTAGAACGATCCATGTTCGCGGCCCCGGAAACCTTGGCACAAATGTGGGAGAATGAAGTCAAGGATGAGTGCTGCGTGCTCGACCCCGACAGGTCACAGCTAGACGCCCCACGGAAACAAGTCCGGTTGCCCACTTTCTCTTCGGCACCGGAAGGGAGGAAGTCCACCACGCGGGGTTCCAGCAAACAATCAAGGCACATTGCCGATCTCAGGAAGTACGTAGGGGTGCTTTCGAGGTCGCGCACAGGTGGCACGCCCCTGATCAGTGGCCCGCCTCCACAGATGGGCAACTCCAAGGGCGGCATGCAGGGTGTTTCGAAGTCCAAAGCCACTGACATCGTCACCAAATTCGCTGAAGGCGCAATATCCAAATCATCGCCAGAGGAGCTTCCCGTACCACACACGGTGGCCATCGATATGGCCACCATAGTTCTCTCCGTCTCTCCCCTGGCGTACGCATACAATAAAAAGCACCAGGCGTTGTTTTTATATCCACCCGGGCATCAGGTAGAGCCTGTTGTTGATCCAAGGAAACGAGAGGGGAAGGTTGATGGAACAAAGGCGTGGGTTGCTGCCATCCACATGCGCACATCGGAAGCGGTATACGGTCAAGGGAAACCTAGAGAGGCTGCCCCTAACTATGACGTTCTCGACCTCTGTGTGCTTCGGATGGAATGGCTGGTGGAGTGTTGGCTTTCGATTGTACCCACTGGTGCTACAGGTTCGACAGCCTCTGACAAGTACCCCATTGAAGTTCCCGAATGGAACAACAAGGGCTACTTGAGGGATCTAGAAGTAGACGGTGTTTGTAAGATGCTGTTGCGCAGAGAGCCGAAGGTAACTATCTCGCCAGGGGGGGTAGAGACGGTGAAGTGTAGATGTTCTGATGTGCCGGGAAAGGGTCAGTGTGCGCGTTGCATTTGCAAACAAAAAGGGTCCATTTCTTCAGAGCTGTGCAATTGTAAGCGAGCTTGCTGCGTAGAAGAGACCTTTGATCGTGTCAGGCTTTTCGATGGAGGTGGGGGTGAATCATCAGATGGGGAGAGCGATGCCGACCAATCCGGTGATGAAGATGATTTTTTGCCTGGTGTGGGCAATTTGGACGGGGGTATGAACATTGGTTGGTTTCGCGAGGATGATATTGCAGAGTACGAGCTGCGCGACCGGATGGATTGGACCAGTCAGCGAGAGCAGTTGGTTGTATCGCCGGGCGAATCGGTTGCTGCCTCATGGGGGCGAGGTACAAATGAAAGGTCTGTATAAAGTGTGACGTTTAAAAAAGTACATAGAAAACAATTGATGATGTTGGTGTTTCGAGCCGGAGCATTTCGTGGTGTCGACGGTGCGGCAAATGTTCAAAGTACATCGATGCATTTCAACCAGAGCATTGCATCCACCTCTTGCTCACGCTGTGCGTCCACCCTCCAATGTCAATGTCAGGTATGAATGAACTGCGCGCACTCCATCCAAACGCAAAGGCTTTGAAACGTGAGGGCGGTTCTGAAGTATTCTACGTTTTCAAAAAAAATCTATTGAGGGCGACAAGCAGGAGCCTCGGCAGCACAGTACACTCCACCAGCACCACCGAAAAAAACTCTTTTCAACGCCAGGTGCCCTACGCCCCTCCTGCAAGCACCCCTATTCAGGGCAGAACACAAGTCTCGACCCCCCACTGTTGCCGCAGCAGCCTCCATCGGTGTACCACACCCCCCCAAATTCCCCGACTTTCACATGGTGAGCATTCGTGTACTTAGCTCTACCCAAAAAACCCCTCACAGCCGGGGGGTTGTCTACAAGCCAACCCCCCCGATCGGCACAGGGTTTCAGGAACGATAGCGGCAGTTTGAGCGCCACGCCTTTCGTCGCCACCGCCAAAGCCGCCTTGACAAACCCCACGGCACCCTTGTATGGAGGGCTCGTCACGACCCAGTCAGGTTGCTTTCCGGGGTTGGCCTTGAGAAAATCACCCGGACAAGAGAGCAAGCTCGCGTCCAGGTTGGTACCTGGCGATAACCTTGTGTGGCGGACAGGAACAGATGCCACCAGAGGTAAAGTGTGAGTGTTCTTCACTTGCGTATAATTAGGAGATATCGATATATGACGTCGCGCAGAGCTGCTGGAGACATAATATTCAAAACGGTGTTACTCGCACAGCCGTAAAGCACCTCGTCACCTCGAGCTCACGTCGCTAGTGAGAACTTCACACGTGCTCCGAAACCCCCGTGCCACCGCGTCTTCAGGTCCGCCGCACATGTCCAACACACAACCCGCAATGGCAACAGCATCCGCAAATCCTCCACCGCCTCCGGCGAAGTACAGTACCGATCAAGCTGCCGGCGTTTATCGTGCGTGACTGGTTCAGGAGCGGCGCTCCACATCCGGCTGTGGCGCGGCGTCTGTTTCGCCTTCCGCGCAACCCGTTCCCTGCTTCGCGCCCACTCGTGCTTCTGGTACAGCTCCAGCAGACAACCCGAGCGTTTACATAATGCGAACGAGTTTATGCCCGGGGCGATCGACTGAAAGCCGGGAAACCTGTCTGCGATACCAGCCTCGTCTACAAAACTCCGAACTAACCCCCCCGTCCTAGCCCTGGTGTGCCTGATGTCTTGGCCCCATTCAAGGCAGGCGCTACAACGGCCGCTGCGGCTGTTCGGCATGATGTGAAGAAAACCTGTGTCGAAATGTAGCAGATAGACAAACAAGAGCGGGATTACGTGCGCTTAAGACATTTGGAAACCTATGCCCAAGACGATCATCCCATCAACCATGAACAGCGAGCTCCACAGCTGCAACACGTAGTCAACTGTCCGCCATCTCGGCGAAGTGCCTTTGCCGTCTTCGACGTTCCGCCGCGTTTTGTGGGCAACCTTCGGAAAGGGTGATTACGCATTTCATCGTGCTGATCCGAATTTTTACCAGGGTGCTTTCTCTACTTCACCTTTTCAAAGAGACTATTACACACATATCGGACGATTTGGTCCGTGCACGAGAGCACAACTTTCGACCAAAGGTTCCCTCCCAGCGCGGCGCAACCAACTTGAACAACATCCGCTCATCACATTTCCGCTGCGTTTCTCTCTAATTCAAGGGATGTAATGCCAGAATGAACCACTTACAGCTGTAGTCTGTGAAGGTTCCCAAGATCCTGCAAAGTTTCGTCTCGGTACCTGCCCTGAGCGTGAAGAACGGTGTGGTTAAGTGAAGCCCAGGCGAACCTGCCGCCGGCTTGGGGCTCAGGCTGTACAGCATCACCGATAGGGTACCCCCACTTGGTTTTTGTCCGTACTTTTTTTGGTACGGAGCCCCCAGCAACGCGTGTGGCGGCCGCGCTCTCCATAGCATCGCCGCGATCAGCGGCACCCTCCATGGTGCCAGCTGGCTCCTCCTTCTTGCTTGCCTTCATCGTATCTTCCACTAGCGACACTACTGGCTCATCTGATCCGTCAGCGAGCTAACTTGCGTCCTCAGGGCCACGAGCTCTTCTCTCGACCTCTTTCTGTCTTCCGCCGCAGAGTCGCTGGCGGAGGCACCCCCATCTTTGCGAACTGACATTCCTAATGGACTCTCCCTCGAGGGACTGACACTAGTGTGTTCGTATACGTCCTTGACTTGGAAGGGGAAGACATTTTATCTCTTGTATTAGGAGTAGGGAGAAGTGAAGCCCTCGTTGGAGTTCGCGGGGTCCCCGCACATGCAACCATTTCAAGGTGTACATACGCCCCATATGCGTGCCCTCTGTTGTTGCCGGTAGATCTAACCAGTCCGTATCCAAACACACGAACATCGTGTCCCCACCTAACACGGGTCCTTTTGTGCTAGCTTCTACTGCTGCTGTGCGTGGCATGGTGCGCTTTTGGACGCTTTTTCTGCTTGGTTGGATCCGCTTCAACCTCATGTGCAACAAGCTTTTATCACCGGGCGTATGCTATCCTGTGGGTATCTCCGCCTTTTGCATGAACCTCGGCTTGCTTTTCCCGAGGTTGCACCCCGCTTTACTGCTTCTGCTGCCCTTGGTCCTGCTGCCTCTGCTGCGGATGGTTGTGCTACACCTGCTGTTTCTGGCCCTACTGCCCTTCCCACAATCAATCGTAGATACTCTTTCTCTGGCCCTGTCTCTGTTAAAAAAGAGGAAAACATGTCCAGCGGCAATGTTGAACTCCTGGACTACGAACCCGAGGGAGAGGACCCCACCGCACAACAGTTTTCGGAGGCCGGTGTGGGAGACGAGCGCTGCCCCACACCCCGCGCGTTCACCGTCGATGATTTGCTGGACAACATCACCACGGCGAATCCGGCGGACCTGGAGGAGGCCAATAACGCAGGACGTGCCTCTCTGGAGGATATTGCCGGGGTGGCCCGTCTGTCTTCCGATTCCCCCCTTTTCGTTTTCTCGCTCCCCCCGGAAGACAAGTTGATCCTCTTACCCCACAATGAGTTTATGGCTTGCGAAAGCTTGAACGAGATGTGGTGCAACGGTCTTGCCGGGAAGATAGCAGAGGCGGAGGCGCGAAAGCAGGCGAAGCGCGAGGACGCGGAGCGCGTGGCTTAGCGTGAGGCTACTCTGGCTGCTGCTGCGAGGAAGCAGGAGGAGGGGCGTGAGGCTGCTCTGGCTGCTGCTGCGAGGAAGCAGGGGGAGGAGCGTGAGGCCGCCCTGGCTGCTGCTGCGAGGAAACAGGAGGAGGAGCGTGCGGCTGCTCTGGCGGCAGCCCGGAAGCAGGAGAAGGATCGTAAAGCTGAGCTGGCGGAGCGCGAGGCGCACGTCCAAGCTGCTATGGCCAAGCAGGGGGCGCTCCGATCACGGCTGGACCACCTCGAGTTCCGCCCCCATGGCCCTCACGCAGCGGCCTTGCTCTCGCCCTCTCCCCATCGTCGTGTTGTTGCCCCCCCCCAATTGCAATCGCAGCGTGCCTCTGTGGCGAAGGAGAACGGACGGGAGGTGGCGACTACTCCGGAGTTTTCGGTTACGTTGGGTCGTCCGGCCGGTGAAGGCGGGGCATCGACTGCGGTCGAAGCCGCGGGGTACGAGTTCCATGTTGGCGATACAACGTTCTTGTCCCGCCCACTGGAGATGCCAGCCGAAGACGTAACTTTCCACCATGAGGATAAAATGGCAGCTCTTTTTGCATGGGCTGGCGTCAAACAACTCCTCGGTGCTCAATTTCCCCACTCTCACACCATTGCTTTCGGGCACAGTTATTCTGCCCCCCATCGCGAAACTTCCGCCTTCTCCTCGGCAGTCCGTGTTCCGGCTTTTGTTCGCTCTCCGTCGTGCCTCTTTTACGAGCGGTCCTCAAGGAACGTCGGTGGTGACCCATGATGAAGGACTCCAGCTGCCTCTTGCTCGTGCAGCCTCAAACAACGAAATCAAGCAAGATCTGCAAGCCCCCCGGCAGGCCTCTTCACGCCCTGCACATGTTTCTGGAGGGGATAAGGACCACAGTCGGTCGGCGGCTCCTGCGTCTAAGAGCTGGAGAACCGTTGGGGTGACCAAGGTTCGACGGCCAAGAGCGAGACGGACGACCACCGCCGCTCCACCCAGTCCGCGAGGGCGTGGCACCGGAGATGGTGGGCGAGGGCAAGCCGCTGGGACCCAGTGAACGAGGTCGTCGCCGGCGAGCCGCTGCCGCCGGAGTAGGAGTCGGAGCGCAGAACGTCAACAGCGCACCAATCCTTCGTCTAGGCGTAGTCGCAGCCGGAGCGGAGACCGTCGTGGGATAAACACGCCGTCGTCGAGGCGTAGCCGCAGCCGGAGCCAAAACCGGAGCGGGGGCAACAGCAGGGCGACCAGCACTGACAGCCGTCGCGGCGGAAAAGGGGGACGGAAGTCAGGCCACGGTAACAGGCGCTTTCGTTGTCTTCGACCGTCCGCTGCCCCCGTGTGACAGCACCTGATACGAATGCGTCTTCCTCTGCTGCCCACCACGTGCTGACGGCACCACTGCCATCGGGATCGGATGGTAGTGCCCACCAATCTGTGGAAGGTTCGGCTCCTTTGTCAAGGGGGAGTAGTCAAGAGCGCCCTGCGTCAATGAAAAAACATCCATCTGCTGCAGGAATGACTGCTCCTGACGAACGGGTCTCTAGTAGCCGAATGGCCTCTGCTAACATTGAACCCGCCGGAGCCGCCGCCCTGAGGCCGCCCTCCGGATCACGGAGCGTTGCGACTTCGCCCGCTCCTGCCTCGCTTTCTGGGTCCTCCCCGTCGGAGAAGAGGACCCGTCCGCTTGGTCCACCCCCGTCTGTGCCTGGTGCCCGCTCTTTGCCCCTTCGCCCTGCACCGGCTCCGCCGTTTGATGACAAGTGTGAGTACGCTTCGGATGACGTCCTTCTCTTCTGGAAACCTCCGTCTGTGTTTTCGCAATGGACTCCTTCTGCTTTTGACGTACTGGGGGTACGTTATTCATGTGGTGAGCAATTTATGATGTCTGACAAAGCGAAGTGTTTTGGAGATATGACGTCGTATGAAAAAATTATGGCTGCAACCGATCCTAAGACACTCAAATTTTTGGGCCGTAACGTGCGTCATTTCGACTATGCTGAATGGGAGCGTCGTCGTGAAGAGATCGTGCTTGCGGGGTCGTGTGCCAAATTTCCTCAAAACCATGACATGAAACATCATCTACTGGAGACGGGTACCCGCCTCCGTGCGGAAGCCAGCCCCTCCGATCGTGTTTGGGGTATCGGCATGTCTGCAGCTTTCCAGAGGCTAGCGTTTTATCCAAGTAGGCGGCTAGCGGTAAACTTGTTGGGAAAAGATTTGATGGAAGTTCGAGGCCTTTTTCGTGATCACCCCCTGTCTGGCGGAGATTTCCCCGCTTCCACTTCTCCCACGCCACCCATTTTGCAGCCTCCTCTCCATGGACATCGACGCATCCATGAGGTTGCTACTGCGGCAGTTTCGTCGTCACGAGAGGACCCGGGCGAAGACCCAGGTTGTCTCCGTTTGGACGCTCCGGGGGACCATGCTCCTGGCATTCATCTGGTGGCATCGACCTCCGCTTGTGCAGACCAGCCTCCTCTTCTCGAACATGGGCCCGATCTGGTCGGCGGCACGCTCCTGTTGGACTCGGACTCATACACCACCCGGGTCCTGCTGCATGGAGGACCTACAGCCACTTCTCAACTCGCGCGAGTGGCGATTCTAGACTCTGGGTCTTCTGCGTCCTTCGTGTCCGACTCCGTGGTCACCGCCATGATAGCTGCTGGAGCCCTGACAGCTGGCAGCGTTCGTGTTTTGCCCTCTCGTCGTTGGGGTGGGTTTGGCGATGGACCCGCCCTTGTGACCACCCGGTCAATTCGTCTCACCGTTAATTTTCTCCATGGAGATCGAGCTACCGCTGCCTTGGCGGTCTGGGCCTGTGTTGTTCCAGACGCCGCCATGGGGCACGCCGTGCTTCTGGGTCGTGGTAGCTGGATGCGCTTCAACTCTCGCGTGTTCACCACCCTCCCCCACCCTGGACCGGACGGCCGGGTTATGGGCGAGCTCACGCTCTCTCCGCGTTCTACAGCTGGGGCTTGCGGTTACGCTACACACAACGACGCTCCTGCCTCCTCGTTTCACCTTACGTATGCAGGGATCTCGGGAATTTCCTTGGGGACGGAGCCTGCACTCGTTGAGGTGGACCTCGCTCGTTCTTCTGGCATGCCTGCGCTGATTGGAGAGTATCTGGTATCGTTCAANGCCGCGCCGCTACTACGAGTACCGGTGGAAACCCTGAAGGCGGCACCATCTTCGATTCCTACCGGCCCCACAACATCTACATCACCACCTCGGGTCAACGTCGTTGGCCCCAAGTCCGGGACTCACCGCTCTCCGGATCCAGCCTCCGCTCCGCCTCCTCCGAAGCCGCCTCCACAAGAACTACTTGACCGCTTCTCTGAGGCACAGCGCTCCAGCTTCATGCGCTTGTGGGCTAGGCTGCCCGCACATATGCACGACATCGCTTTCGATCTACACAGTCCGGGATAGACACCGGAGGCTATTGATCGTTTGGCCGACGCCCTTGTGGGGTATTCTGACGTGTTCTCTACTTCGAAAACCGATTTTGGTTTCTGCACCATCATGCCATTCACGCTTTCTGTCCCAGCAGGGACGAAGCCCGTTGCATCGCGCCCGTATCGTATCAACCCGTTGGTGCGAAAGAAAGTGGATGGCGTTTTGGACCAGTATTTGGCGGCAGGGCTTATTCAACATTCCACGTCTCCGTGGGCTTCTCCTTGAGTTGTCATCCCCANCATTCACGCTTTCTGTCCCAGCAGGGACGAAGCCCGTTGCATCGCGCCCGTATCGTATCAACCCGTTGGTGCGAAAGAAAGTGGATGGCGTTTTGGACCAGTATTTGGCGGCAGGGCTTATTCAACATTCCACGTCTCCGTGGGCTTCTCCTTGAGTTGTCATCCCCAAGAAGGACGGATCGGTTCGGATCACCGTCAACTACAAACGTCTCAACGCTCTGGTGGATTTGGATGGACAACCTCTCCTTCGAGTGGACGGTATCTTGGATTCTCTGAACAACGGAAAAGTGTTCTCCATCTTCGACCTCAACTCGGCTTTCCACCAGATCNACGGATCGGTTCGGATCACCGTCAACTACAAACGTCTCAACGCTCTGGTGGATTTGGATGGACAACCTCTCCTTCGAGTGGACGGTATCTTGGATTCTCTGAACAACGGAAAAGTGTTCTCCATCTTCGACCTCAACTCGGCTTTCCACCAGATCGTTTGTGATGAAGACACTGTCCCGCTCACCGCCTTTTGCACTCCCACGCAGTTGATCGAATGGCTTCGGATGCCGCAGGGAGCCAACGCAAGTCGTTCTTGGTTCGTCAAGGTCATCAACAGAGTGGTGCACGGTCTGGAGCGTGTGCTTGCATATCTGGACGGCGTCATCTGTTTCGATGAGGAACCTCTGGGACACGTGCTGAACTTGATCNGATCGAATGGCTTCGGATGCCGCAGGGAGCCAACGCAAGTCGTTCTTGGTTCGTCAAGGTCATCAACAGAGTGGTGCACGGTCTGGAGCGTGTGCTTGCATATCTGGACGGCGTCATCTGTTTCGATGAGGAACCTCTGGGACACGTGCTGAACTTGATCGAGTTCTTCAAACGGCTGCGACAGTACAACCTCAAACTGTCTCCGGGGAAGGCTCGCGTCGGCGCCACACACGCCAACTTCCTCGGTCACACCATCTCTCTGGCCGATGTAAGCCCTGATGGCGTCAAGGTTAGGGCGCTCACACACACGCCGCCGCCGACGAATGTCAAGTAGCTTCGGAGCCTTCTCGGTGGACTCAGTTACTACCGGATATTCCTCACGAATCTCGCCACCAAGGTGCGGCCTCTCAACTCTCTTCTCAAACAAGGCGTTCCCTTCAAGTACACCCCGGGCATGGTCAAGTTTATCAAAACGTTGTTAAGCGAACTCGCTCGTCCCCCGATTTTGGTCTTCCCGGATTGAGCAGCGGTCGAGGACGACAGCTGTCCTCTCCGTTTGTGTTCCGACGCGTGTATCGACGGCTTTGGCGCCTCCTTGGAACAAGAACAACTCGATGGCTAGGTGAGGCCCATTGTGTACATCAGCCGCGCTACTCCTCCTGCGGACCGTAACTGGACCGTTCTGGATCTGGAGGCTGGTGGCATTGTTTGGGCCATCAAACGCCTTCGCGGTTATCAGTGGTCGACCAAGTTCATAATCTATTCGGACCACAAAGCCTTGGAGAGCATTGGCAAGGTTGGGGAGCACAACGCTAGGGTGCAACCATGGCTCGAATTTCTATCCAAATCCACTACACCCTAAAATATCGGAAAGGTTCGGCAAACGGCAACGCGGATTTTCCATCGCGGCTGCGTTTTCCAGCACAAGACACGGACAAAACCGGCCCCTACTGCATTGATGGTGTCGATCAAGCGGGTGTTTTCCTTGTTCGGGCTTGCGGGTGTAACTATCACTCGTCGTCTACGCCGGAGGTCGGATTGCGTGGGCTCCGCCCTCCTTTCCCGGCGGGAGTCTTTTCGCCCCCAGCGCTCCAGCCCTCCGATTTTTTAGGGATTTTCGCCGACATCACCCGCGTCGGTTGGATGCTCTGACGGACTCAACGATTGCCTGCGAGGATTCTCGGCGGTCTCCGGGGGTCTTCATCGTTTCGCCTGGTCCCGGATCTTCAGGGCCTGTTTCCCCTTCGACTCCTGCTGCGTCCCGCGTGATGTCTCCTGTCGCGTCTTTGGCGGCTAGATATGTGCACATTTTGTTTTCGCTTCCCGAGCGGGGACCGCTCATTTCTTCACGAACTCCGGCCAAAACTACCGCTGCTTCCGGAGGCACCGTCACCGGTCCCTCTTCTTTCGGACGCCAGCCGTGGGCTACCATCGTCCCTCGGACATCGTCGCCTGTCCGTCGCTCTAGCAGGTCCCGCTCGACAAACAAGACCACCCGGAACGCCGCGCGTCTGCTGCCGCCATCTGCGACGCTGGCATCGGCGTTTTCGTCGACTGTTCCTGCGCCACCGGTGTCTTCGCCGTCAGCGGCGCGCCCTGCATCCCCGGTATCGCCTTCTGTACAGGTTTCGCCCCGGACTTCGCCCCTCACGATGTCCTCTTCGCGAACATCATCACGACTGCGGCTGCCCCAGTTACTGGGGATTCTTCTTCAGCCTCTTCCGTTGGATCGCCTGACTTTCGTTTGGAATCTCCTGATTTAGACACCTCCCACCTGCGGGCTTGTGTTCAGAGTTTTTTGCCCTGTGGACTGGGGAAGGGAACAACAGCGGGAGAGAGAGTGTGTGGTGGCTATGCGTTTTTTGTCTCGCAATTCTCCCTCTCCACCCCCTCCGGACTCGCTCACTCTCTGTGCTCCTTCTCCGCTCCCTTCGGTTAGATGATGGGCTTGTGTTGGCGGCGAAAGCCAGACTGCACACGTCCGACGATAACGTCACCCTCCTTGTACATTAATCGGCGCCGTCGCCGGTTGGGCGCTCTGGCGGCAGGACCACTCGTCTGCCGGATCCTGGCGTGCCCCGTGTCTGCGTGCCAATGCTGATGCGTCCGTGGGTCCTTCATGCATGCCATACCGCCGCGTCATTCCATCTCGGCGTCCATCGTACACAGCGTCTGCTCGAGCGCTTCTACTGGTGGATTGGTTTGGATCGTTCCGTGCGCTGGTGGCTTCGGGCGTGTTCGGTGTGTCAAGCTCGCAAGACTTCACGTCAGACTGCTCGGTGGCCCGTCATCGCTATGCCATTGCCGCAGGGACCTGGTACGGTCGTCGGCGTCGACTTCCTCGGACCTCTGCCAGTGACTGCCAAGGGCATTTCTTACATTTTGCTGTTCACAGACCGTTTCAGTCGGAGAGCCGACATGTTCGCAGTTGCAGCGGTAGAATTTACGGCGAAAGGGACGGCTCACATGGGGATGTCCGACTACGTTATTGTCGGACAACGGACTGCATTTCTGCTNCCTCGGACCTCTGCCAGTGACTGCCAAGGGCATTTCTTACATTTTGCTGTTCACAGACCGTTTCAGTCGGAGAGCCGACATGTTCGCAGTTGCAGCGGTAGAATTTACGGCGAAAGGGACGGCTCACATGGGGATGTCCGACTACGTTATTGTCGGACAACGGACTGCATTTCTGCTCGAAGCTCTCCATGGCGATCTATGAGTTGATGAAGATCAAGAGAGTCACCACCAGCTCCTACCACCCACAGACCAACGGCGGCACGGAACGCGTCAACCACACGATGGCCCAGATGCTTGCGGTGGTCGTCAACGAACAGCAAAAACGATTGGGACGTACATCTCCCGCACGTTGAGTTTGCCTACAACAATTCCGCGAACCAGTCTACTGGATTAGCGCCAAACGAGATCCACATCGGACGCATCCCGCGACTCCCGCTTTTGGTCTTCGATCATCCCACGGTAGGTGGTCATCAAAGCTTGGCCCGCGATCAACTCGAGTATTGCAACCTGGCTGTCGATCGCCAGCGCCGGGCCTACGAACTTGTCCGTGAGTACAACGCCCTGAAGATTTCGCGAGTCGAACGCCGCAATTCATCCCTGCTGGACGCCATTCACAAGCTCCCTCAGTTTATCGTTGGCGGGTGGGATTGGGTGTACAACACGGCTGCTACAATTTGACAGGGCGTGCAGAAGGACACGGACCAACAGGTGCTCAAGGCCAAATTCGCACTTTCCTGGACGGGGCCCTACAATGTTCTTGTGGTGGGTCCCACCTCTGCCGACGCCACTCCGGACGGCCGCCCGTTGGCGCGTAAACTCCTCTACCTGGACCTGCCTTCCGATCTTTCCGGCCCGGCAGCTCATTGTCGCGTGTTAGTCCTTCGTTGCAAGCCCTGTCGCAATCCGTACGAGACGGATGACTTGCCGCAATCTCTACCCGCCGAGCTTTCGCGATATGTTCTACACTCTTTCGGAGATAAATGTCCACCGTTCCACGTCACCGCGAATGATGTGTCGGTGCCTGTCGGGCGCCTCGAGGTCGACTACATCTCGGGACATCAACTGGTGCGGGGCCGTAGCGGCGTTCTCGCTGTCTTGTACCAGACGCATTGGTTAGGCCTGACTGCTCCTTCATGGGAACGGGAATCCCACCTTGATCAATTCCGTCGACACATCCTCTTGTACTGGTCCCGGGAGGTCTGCCAAAGCAAGCAGGGTAACCGTACATATCGAGTGGCTCGGACTCGCGCGGCACAGCGGGAGCTAGCCCGGAATCGTGGAGAACGCTATTTGCCTCCTGGGGCTAATCTTGTGCTTGACGCGGCTTGGCTTCGTCGTTTCAGCGCTTCGCCCCTCCCTGTTGGCACGTGGCTGTGGTACAAGGCGCGTGATGGATTGTAGTGGACCGAACGTGTTGGTGCTCATCAGGGCGGCTCGTACATCGTTCGATTCTTGGATGACCCGGGCCCAAGCGTTCTCCCTCTGCCTGCGCACCTCTACTCCACCGCCTTGGACGCCGTCTGTGGATCACGGTATTTAGAGAGACATCGTTCGCGCCCTCTAGGCGGCAACCGTGGTCGCACTCCGCTTCTTTCTGACTCCTTACCGTCGGCTGTTTCCACCATTTTCTCTTAGCGTCGTCGTTTTCATATACCAGTCGGCCTATTTTGGTCTTTTGTGCCATCCTTCTCGCCGACGTTTTGCTTTTTTTTTTTTTCTGTTACCTTCCGTTTTGTTTTTTTGTTTTTTTTCTGTCCTGTCTCTTTTCTTTTGTTGGCTTACTTTTTGTTTTGGGCGCTGGGGCAACGCCGCCTCAAGACACGCAGTGTCGAGTGATCGTTCTTCCTTGTTGCCTGCATTCGTCTGAATCATTGAACTGCCGCGACCTGGATGTCCGTTCTCTCTCGCCTTTGCTTAAGTATTTTTGTTGTTGGTGGTCTTTGGTTCTCTCGACAAGCTCCCTCCGAAGTCTCGTCGGTGTTGTCTGCCTCTGAACACTTGAAAAAATAAAGGTTCCCGAAGTTTCGTCGGTGATGTTTGCCTCGGGACACTTGGACACCGAGTTCCCTGCGTTTTCCTGGTCCGCCTGTTTGCCAACTAATGTTGGCTTAATACTTTTTTGATTTAGTTCCATCGTGCCGCACAAGTGTCGCATACGCTTGGTGCTTCGGGATTCCATCCCGTGGCGTCGCCTTCTCCCATGGATTTTCGTCGTCACCCACACTTCGTTCTGCTTCGTCTCCATCATCGCCACCTTCGGGCGACGCCTTCATCACAGTAGCACCCCTAAGTCGTCGTCTTGTGTGAATCTCTACTACGTTCTGTGTTTTATGTATTTGAATGATGCGTATCGCCAGCGAGCCATGGCGCAGTTCGTCGACCGCCTCTCTTGCATAAATCGTTTGTTTGTGCCTTGCGTCCTTGGTCTTCATTCGGTCTTGCCCTTACCGTCTCCTTATCCGAGTTGGGTACCCTGACACGCTGGCAATCGTTCTACGTGCCTTTGCCTGTCGTTCGCTTCTCCTGCCCTTCGTTGACGTCCTAGATTGCGCTGAGTTTTCCCTTTGCGTCGCGTCCAGTATCAAAGGCCGTATTCGTTCGTTTTTTTGGGGGGGTTTTGAGTTTTGTCTCTCTCGGGTAGTCACCCTCATTCCTCCAGTGGTGATACGCGCGGGTGCGCGTAAAAGAGTGGTGTGTGGCGTCTGGATATTGATTGTTTTTCCCTGTCGTCGTCTGTTCAGGACCATAGCGTGTTCTGCAGCAATATGATTCTTGATAGCTCTATTCCTTCAAGCGTTGTCATTGAGATGTCGATGTTCCGTCTTGTGACCGTTCGCATTCTTCGTCTCAATGATGGTGTGGCGGATTGATTCGGGACATTTCTTAAACTTACCCTCCTTTTGGATTTTTTGTGAAAAGTCATATCTTCGATTCATGATCATAAATCATCAGCTAAATCTCACTGAAGCTTTTAGGATTTGAGCATCGATTTGAGTATAGAATCTGCATATATGATATTCAGGGTGGGCTAGTGTTAAGGAGTGTGGCTGCTAGCATGAATAGGGTACATCTTATTTATTTGTTTATTTTTGCCTTCCGACAATTGCAGATGTACCTCAGAAAACTTTCACTTAATGTCTCATACTCTACATGAATATTAAACCAATACGAAGTACAACAACATATGTAGGACTTATTTCTACTGTCATTTACATCGTAAAAGTATCTCCTCTTCAACTTGAAATAAAACCAATGACAATCCTGATGGTATCCTATATGCGTTCGTAAGCTTGCTAAAATACTACTGCGTTGATGTCCGCTTGTAAAAGCTGAAATCCAACAAATGCTTTGATCCATGCTACATCTCCGTGTTGGAAAAGCCCTTTCATCTCCGTTCATGATAACATCTTACCCTATTCTACGCAAATCTGTCACATCTA